TCCAAATTCAATACAATATCTTTTGGTTTATTCATAAAATTAACAATGTAACAATCTGATAAAAAGCCGCTCACAATAAATAAGAAATTAACAAGGCAGCATGACAAGGGTTCTTTAATGTGAACAAAAACGAAAAAAAAAACACACCTACATACAAGCACCTAAATATTTAAAGATTCCAATTAAAAGTATTCAAAAATTTGATTAACAATATTGGCAAAGTAATTGAAAACTAAATATTAAGCAAATTTCGTATTTCATTAACGCTATTTATATGTACATATATATGTTTGATTTAAAATTTTTAAGCTTAACTTTTTGGATTGGTGACAATGCAAATGAAAAATGTTTCAAAGCCGAAGATTTCTTAAATAGCTTTCGTTTGATACTACAGGTATTTAATACATGTATCTATCAATTTAATTGAATTAAATATAAAATGAGAAATATTTCCCAAACTAAGCTTTCTTTCTTCACTTTGACACCTTTATTGCAACATTTTATTTACCTTAGCAATTACATTTACTTAAATTTTTCAAACAGATGGCAACACTCTCGAAAAAACTTTGAAAATTAAGCTTTATTAAGCCGCTTTGGTTCGATACATATATTGTTGTAAAATGTTATTTATCTTATCAATTTAATCGAATTAAAATTTTCAAACATCTGAATCAGAAAAATAATTATTTTATTTGTTGTTGTTTTTTCTTATATGCGGAAACTTTATTTGTTGTTGTCTTTTATCATATGTGGACCTTCTCTTTGATGTTTTTTCTTACATGCAGAAGTAGTATTTGCTGTTGTTTTTTCTTATATGGTCAAAATTTTTATCTTTAACCTTACAGTCGCACGTATATTTCTGTTTATATTTCTGAAACGATGTGTAAAAACCGAAAGTTTTTCATTTATCCTGGTAATTATCCCCAAAAGCTACATTTTAGTTATATACAGACACTAGTTTCCTATCTTTTGTTGTTTTAAATATAAATGTGGTTTTAGGTGGTCTTTAACGTTACATTTTTTGGAAGTCGGTTATATATAACATCTCACGTAAGGAAAACTTGGCGAATCCCGCAAAGTTAAAAATTATACTAAAGTATTTTAATACAGATCAAGGTTCAAAGAAGCTATAAAAATATTAACCTTTGGATAATGCACGTTTATTTCAAATCTATAAACCGAAATATGCAGTCTTTTACGTTACTTACCATACTTGACTACATTTTCCATTTTGATTGCACGCGAAGCTCAAGATAAACGAACGCGCACCGCATAAATTGGATGACAATCGGCACTTGTTTCTAGATGCGTTAAGATACACATAAATATGTAAAAAAAAATGTATCACGCATTGACGGGTGAGTCAAAGAAATATTTTTTTTTGCACTCGTTCCTTGTTCCCATCTCTGTATCTATTTATCAGATAGCAAACAAACATGCTCCTCATACGTTTAAACAAACTGTAAAAATTTCATCAAAATCAGTCGAGTGGTTTTTGAGTAAATGTGTTAAATCAGTTTGCAACTTTACTTTATATGTAGTATAAACATTTGTCTTAATATTTTAACATCTGGCCACCTTATTTAACATGCGCACCCAATGAATTTCACAAAAATTTCACAACGAATATTAAGCTGGCCACCCTAACAGCTGGTGTGCTAAGCAAAGCAAACAGCTGATTGTGTAGTTTGTTTTCTTGCTTGTGTGCTCGCTGCTGCTGTCGATGGTGGATTTTAGTATTTTATTCACATTGAATTGCAGTTATTTATAGTGAAATGTTAATTAAAATACAGTTTATTGTTTAAAGTGAAGTGTAAAAGTGGAGTATGTTAAGAAAAGTTCCGTTAATTGTGATACTAGGCTCCACTGGTACGGGGAAAACAAAGTTGTCACTGGAATTGGCACAGCGTTTCGGCGGCGAAATAATCAGCGCTGATTCGATGCAGGTATGTTCAATGGTAGTGGATGTAAGGCAGGGTTGTTGCATTTTCAAAATTTTGTTTTAATATAATGGTTTACTATGAAATACATAAAATTCATTGAATAAATGCAATTAACAAGCTAAATTAGTTAAGTGTATTAATATTTAGTATAAGGATTGGAAACTATAAATAATTTATGAACGGAATAAATATAAGTACATATCCTACATACTATTTATTTTAAACAGGAAACGAAAATAACAATGAAATACAAAGATTTTTATTTTTAGATCATTGCGCAACTGTCATTTTTTGATTTTATTCTTTCTTTAAAAAATAATCGTTATTTTTAATTTTTCGATAAAAAATAAACGCTTAATATGATTTTTTATTTTTTCGAACCAATTCATATGTTTTTATATGACTTTTAATTTTTCGAAAAAAAAAATCATAAAATAATAGTCTAAATTATTTACATATTTCGATATTTTTTAACTGTTATAATGCAGACTGCGTTGTTATGAACATTTTGAACCTTTTTTTCAATTTCAATTTCTAAATCTGATCTAAAAATTAAATCTAAAAATAATGATCGCAAAACTAGACGCCAAATTTTAGTGGTTAAATCATGATTTTTATAGCAGTTTTCACACTAATTTCGGTAGTGTTTGTAAATTGTTAGTTCTTACTCGGTAATTTTTTCAACTTACTTTTGATGATCTGGTAAATTATGTTTATCAATAGCTGATTCATATTTAATCATATTGTTTAGAGTGGAAAGGTGCTAAATCCATTTTTGCAGGAGAGGAAAACACTTCTCAAACCCATTTTCTGCAAGAATTTCACAAAACTTTGAATGAAACATTTTGCGTGTTTAAAGCAAAGCAAAACTTCTTACGCATCAGAAGGCTTCGTTGATAATTAAAAAATTTCGAATTTTTTGTGAGGTTATCGATTTTGCTGTGCATCTTTCGGACTTAGCGTTGTTGCCTTTAATTGAATACAGACATGAAGAAATAACACAAGCACGTTCAACCTTTTTGAGGCTTTGTACTTTTAATTTCTCTTGCTTCCTATATCAAAATATGAATTTTCACAAAAGGGGGCCTAAGCCATTTTTCACTCTTAGCTAGCAATATGTACATACATACATACGTGACGGGCAAAACTGTAACACGGTGTAACACTTTTTATTTCTGCCACAGCTAGCTTTCCAAATTCTAACGACTTTCATCCTTTTGTTGCATTTTCTTGTTGGTACACCCCTACTCCCTCTCTCATAACTATTTGGAGTCAATCCAACAACAATAAAAAAAACAGCAGACAAAAATGTAAATTAAGGCAAATGTTACGGTTTTGCACGCACTCTCATTTTTGCATTTTACAGTTATCTTTTACTTAGTTGGAAGTCAGATGACTTTTCTGTACTGTAATTTCTTCAAGAAGAGATCACCAGTAAATAATGTGGATAATCAGGAACCATAAATGAAAATAATATATTTACTGCGGAAAGGCGGGACCGCAGGAAAAATGGCAAAAAATTGTGAAGTTTGCCTCATGAAAATGTTAAGACTGAGAAAAAATATAGCCTAAGCCTTAATGCAAATCAGTAGGCAGGGAGGCGAAGAATATCCAAATTGAGCGCAAAGGCATCATAAAAGAAGAAAAAAGCAAATTTAATCAAAATACATGTGCGGGTGTGACAGCATTTTGCTGTATCGCACGAAAACCGGACCGTTGCTAACTGGGGTATGTTACGCCTTTCAGAATGCAATAAAAAACACATGTTTAAGTTTCAATTGAAGGTTATTTGGTTTGATAAGACTAAATTAATCGCTTTCGATCAGATGACCGGTCATCGTATTGGATCAAAGACCCAAATTAGGCCCAAGCACATCATGTAAAGCAAACTGTGAATCACAGTGGTCGGTCTAATAGTTTGGGGTTGTATTTCAAAAATTTTGTGGGTCCGTTAGTACGCATTATGCGTAAGGAACAGTATCTGTTCATATTTCAACAAAATTTGCAAGATGTAGTAGAAAAAATGAGAGTTTCTGCTGAAAAATCATCCAAAACACACTGCACATGTTCGCAAAAACTGGATTCAAATGCAAAAATTTGTTAATTTGAAATGACCTCCACAATCCGCGGGCATGAATCTCATCGAGAATTCGCGAAATCAACTAAAAGCACAGCTTACTAAGTATCCAAGTAAGTTCAATGGAGAACATGAGCTGTGAGAGCAAACTAAGGATATATGGGAGAGTATACCTCCAGAATTTTAACAGAGATACAAATAAGGTATGCCAAATCGCATCCAGGAACTAAAAAAAGCAAAAGGGTACTGAACATTGTATTAGTAGTTTTTTCGTGAAAGTTGTTAAAAAGTTATTAAAAATATATGAGTGCAAAACTGCAACATTTGTATTTATTTACATTTTCGTCTGCTGGTTTTATTATTGTTGTTGGATTGACTTCAAATCATTATGAGAGAGGAAGTACAGGTGTACCAATAAGAATATACACCAAAAGTATGAAAGTCGTTAGAACTTGGAAGTATAGCGATGGCTGAAATAAAAAGTGTTACACCATGTTACAGTTTTGCCCATCACTGTACGCACGATGCAGCGAACAAAGGTGGCGCTGTCCGACATACCGCTACTTTGGTTTTGCCGATTCTGACAATTCTGGTCTACAAGTAAACCATGCCTCAGAAACTTTAAATGCACTGAATCAATCAATACTTGCACAAAAATCACAATTTTTTCACATTTTCCTTATTAATTCTTATTGTAAATTATATATTTTTACAATTTAGCACAATTAGCGCGTTTACTGTCGAAAAATTTTATATTAAGACAATTTTGTCTTCTGACATTTTCTTTTAACATCCAATTCGGCTTTGTTTACTTGTGGTATACAAATGTCATCGCCGTCAAGACGGCGAACTCTTGTATTCTATCATTCTTGATACATATGTGTGTGTTATGCTTTTCGGAAGCGGACCACTATCAGAAAAATTATCAAGCTTGCCACCACAATAAGGGTATTCATTATAAACTGTATAAACTTATAATTGTGTAAACCTTATAATTTAACTGTCAAAATTTGTATGAAAACTCGTTTACACATTTCTGATAAATTTCTCCAACGATTTCACTGAATAAACTTGATAAACTGAAGCCAATGCAACTCTGTCGCAACTCTAGTTGTGTTTTCTTGGGCAATAATCGGGATGCGCTTAAAATTTTGCACGCAAATTCAACAACAACGATATTATTATTCGCTCCGTCTTGTTTTATTCGCTGATAATTTGGCCTCACTGTTTGGTAGCAGTGACAAATGAATTCATACACAAAAAGACATTCTGCCATTGTTTCTTTTAACTTGCTTCAAATAAATCGCGTTTATGTTAAATATTTATTTGAAAGAATATCATCTCGTCTTAACATATTTTTTCCCCATTTAGTGAGGTCATTTCTAAAACTTCTTAATCCTCGTGCTAGTAGTATAGAATTACTGATATTGGTTGTCGCAAGTGTAAACGAAAGGAGAGTATGGGGCGTTCATGTAACAGAGTGCATAAATTTATAAGAATAATATCTGCTTCATAAAGTTATCGGTTTAGATGAATACTACTAATAATTCGATAATCGGTAAACCGACAACAAAATAATTTCACGCAAAACAAAATACTTACATGGGGAAAAGCTACTGAGTAATGAGTAACGAAATATCAAGTTCGTTGTGAAGACCCTCATTATAAAGATATAACCATTACCTTTCGCGCTAAATCTACAGACTTGGAGGAAACTTTTTTCGACACGATTTTTCACATTCCCTTTTGGTGTGGCTCGTTTCATTTACACACGGCGACTTTTTTGTATTTGCAAAAAAAATGAAGAGGGTTGCCACCTATTCCAATTTCAAAGGATGACAAACGAAAGAGGTTTAAGAAAGCTTTGTTTCAAAAATATTTTGAACAGGGTCGCCAAATGTTTAAAAGACAAATTCAATTTTATTATTAAGTAAAATGAAGTATGTATTGCAAAATTAATGCTAAATTAAAATTTATTTACAGAATGTTTTCGGAGATGGTTGCCACCATTTTAAACGCCAAACTGAATTTAATTAATAAGTTAAAATTTTTAGCCATAGCAAAAAAAATTGATCAACACTTAACAAGATGTGTTTGAACTTTTTAAGATGAGAATACACCGGTCGTACGACCTTTTTGTCATCGATGTATCGAAATTCATACATGTATTCTGCCTGTACGCGGGTGTGCAGAGGTGCTTGCTATTATTCGCCAGGGTCGAAGATATCCTAGGTGCGGTTGCTGCCTGACACAACATTAAGTTTTTGGTTTTATTGATTTTCGTTTGTTTTTTTTTTACTACTATAAAAAAGCATATGTGAAGTGCAGAGCGAAAGCGCATTCAAACGAAAAAAAATAAATCTGTTTAAAGTAAACACAAAATCACTTCGCGCCAAATCATATGTGTTTTAGTTTGAAACAAATGATGATGTAAGGGTAGGTCTACAGGCCAGTTGCACCGCATCCAGATTTGATCTACATATTTGAAACAAATACGATAAGGTAGTTTTTTGTCTGTGCACTAAAGTTGATTTGAGTCTGGTTGAAGTTTCTCTAATAGCTGTTCCCCTAAGGCAGAGCTTCTTAAAGTGTGTTCCGTAGAAAAGTCACCGGGGTTGGTTACGCGAACTTAATTTTGGTATGAATAAGCACGGCGGTCGGTTTGAGTTTCACACAAAAAGTAAAGTTCTATAAACAGCTTGCCCGAGACGCAGTTATCTATTTTCAAGTATACATATATACTGGTAGTTGGAATGATTAGTTGTATTTTTTTACAAATTATCCAGTAACTTGCCAGCAACTCTCCAGTAACTTTATTTCTAAGAATTCGCTCTCATAGAAAAAATTTGCAATAAAGTACGCGAACGCTTTTCCAGTAATAGTTTGCAAGTTTCATGAACAGCTGATAAATTGGTTGTTTATTCGCAGCAAATTCCTAATAAAACAATATATTTTGTATTTAAATAGGTTTATTTTGTGAAATTCAACAATAAAAACCTACAAACAGTTTCCTTATTAGTTTAAATTTCATCCAGCAACATGCGATCAGCTGTTTGTCGTACTGGCAAATTCTTAAAAGCAAAAATTTATCCAGTAAAATCCAGTAAAAACTTGCAACTTCAACTGTCATTTTTCGCTCTCTCAATTTCCCCTACTTTGCAAGTTTTTGCGTACGAAAACGCCAAAACATGAAAATTCGTAAAAACTTTTACTGGATTTTACTGGAAATGAGTAAAAAAAAGCAACTATTGCCGCACTGAGTGCCATACCTACATAAGAGCGTCTAGCTTGCGCTTGCCAGTTTGTTTTTTTTCTAACTGGTATGTGTTGTGGGCCGCTGTAGCTAAAGGGTTATATACAACTTTCTACAAGGAACGCGATGAATTGCCAAATGAAATGTAAAATGTCATAACTGGGCACTTGGTAAATCACCTGAAATCTTTGTCAGATTATTTTTCGTATGGTAATAGTAATATGTATAGGTTTCGCATAAACTCCACACATTTGAATCTGTGTCTCTGAAAGAGTTTTGGGTTAGTGTTAAGAGTTAATATCATGAAGTTGCTAAAAGGCCGTCTTAACTTTGCTCCCTTCTGTCACAACGTACTCTGTCAACAGGGGTTTCAGCTTACACTTATACAAAATACAAATTCAGGTCGAAATTGGATGCTACCCCAGAAATGTGCATACAGCTTTCAGACATTATATCGAACTACTATTTTATACAATAATTAATAACAGTGAAACAATTTCATTCTTCACACTAAAATTTAAAGTATGTATACTATTTCTAGTAAAAGTTTTTATTCATATTTAAATTGCACTTCCTTTGATGTTTAGTAATTTGATTTGGGGTTCCATAAAATAAAAGTTGTTTAGTAAGGGTTCCATCATCTTAAAAAGTCTAAGAACCCATGTTCTAAGGAAGAAAAAAGATCGAACGGCTTTGCTTTCAAGATATCGGCAAACATATGGTCCCATGGGTCCAGCAAATCAAATTTATTCCCAGAGACTAGCCCACAGTATTAAAAAAGAATTCAATAACATGCCAAAAAACTTCAATAATCCAATTTTCGACCCTATTTTGATTGTAGTACTATGTACTCAGATATGAGCCCGGTTCTTGAAGAAAAATAATGTACCTATTCAAGTCTGGCAAGATGTACATCCACATTTACATATTCGTGGACTTTTAACCTAACCACTTATGTGATTTTAAAAGTTTTGCTTAGGATTAAAACTAAAGACGAACTTTCCTATAAACTCTGTATTTATTTATTAAACTTTTATTGAAGCAGCACTGAAACTAAATTTATGATTAGTAAAACGTTTAGATAGGACTCAAAAATGTAGTACTTCGCAGTAAAAATAGTTAACTCGAGATATGTACCTAGCTTGATGTATTTCATAATTTCGGAATCCCCTTTTTTAAAGATGGATTTATTTTTAACTTTGGTACAAAAATGCCCTATCTCAACATATTTTCGATTGGGGTAGGGCGTTTCTGAACTAAATTCTGAGATAGGGCGTTCTTCAGCCAAATTATGAAGTAGGGAATTCTTGAAAAGTTTTCTAAGATAGGGCGTTTTCGACCTGGCTGTCGAGATATGTCGATCTTCCACTCAGCCGTCGATATTTACTATTCGCATGCCCAAAGAATAAAACCAATTAAATGGCACACTCGATTAAACTAAATTATTTTGAATTAATTAAAAAATTTCCTCATTCATTTACGCGTGCTAAACTGGTTTGTTTAAAACCTTCCTATTGAGCATCTCGCTTTCATTTCGCAATAAAATATCAACATAACAAAACACTTCACAATTTTTATTTAAACTGTCAAATAACTCAATAAAGAAATAATACGGATAGCACAAAGCAACAGACCGATTAAGGTTGTGCTAAAGCAACAAACCACAACAAACAAGGAAGTGTTTTTTATTGAATTATCGATAATATGACAATTTATAAAACTAGACTAGACTACATACTTAAATATACTCGTACTATATATTATCATACTTATGTATGTATGTACATGTGTAGGTGTGCTTGTATGAATAAAATAGTTTATAAATTTTTGGTCTTTATAGATTCTGTCAAATATGCACATAAATTTCGGACAGAATTTGTCTGATTAACTGATTTGCAAAAGTTTTTAAAATGTATATTAGAAATATGTTAGATAGGCACTTAGGTTAAAATGAAATGCATATATTGAAAAACTATGTATTAAAAATTTGAAAAAATTAATATGTACGTACATGTATCTTATTATATTAAACGAGCAATTCTTGTATATATATATATATATCCATAGGGTTCTCGGAAACGGCTCTAACGATTTTGATGAAATTTTGTACACAGATAATGATTGCATTTTAATGTTATCTGAATGGGTATTATTTCCGCGAAGACTCGTATAAGGTTGCCACCTATTCGAAATTAGTTACAAATTAATTAAAACATCATAATATGTGTATCAAATGGAAGGTATTTTAAAGATCCCTAATTCAAAAAAATTTTTAATAAGGTTGCCACCTATTTTGAATCGCATATTTATTTAATTTTTTGTTTAGAAAAAAAAGGTAAAATATTGCAATTCATGGGTGCCAAGAGAAGGTTCTTAAACAATGCTTTCCCTATACAAAAATGTTATGTCTTAGGATATAGTGTAAGGTTGCCACTTATTTTCGATAATACACAATTTATCTAAAACATCGCAATATGGATATCAAATGAAAGGTATTGTTCAAAACTTTGGTCAGAAAATATTTTCCATCAGGGTTGCCACGCTTCCTTGTAATACAAATTTTTATTTTGTTAATCTCAATAAAAATTTTTTTATGTATACATACATAGTACACATACGCTCAAGATATGTACCATTCATTCCAGCGTATTTCGGGATAGGGTTACCACCTAAATTTTAGAGTAAGGAATTTACTTAATAGATATGGAAATACTATTTTTTTTTGTTTATTTCCAAAATATTTTTTTTAAAGCTATCCAAATCTTAAAAACTTTAAAAAGTATATGCACTCCAGGCAAAGCTCGGTCAACCTGGTACTGTATATGTATATGTGGTACCTAGGGACAAAACGGTACGAGTAAATACAAGTACATACTAGATACTTTTCGTCCGATACGAAGTAATTTTGGTATCGATACCTTTGAAGAAGAATACTTCGGCAGAAAGTATGTACTTGTATCGAATCCCGATTCAGTGACAATTTTATTCACGGACTTTTATTTTTTAATCTAATCATTATTGTGAATAGTTAAAATTTTTTGGCAGTTTAGTGGCCAATGAAAAGAAAGTCCTAAAAAGAAAGATCTATTATCATCTCATTAACATATCGCTGGCTTAAATTGAAAAGTTGAAGAAAGTTGAAGTTGAAAGAAAAGTTGAAAAGTTGCACTTTTTGTGAAAACTCATATTTGGGTTTAGGAAGCATGGTAAATTAAAAACGCAACGTCTCTAAAAGGATTATCTAACGTGCTTGTTTTATATTCAATTAAAGCCAAATTTACTAAGTCCAAAAGAGGAACAGAAAAATCTATAAGCTCAGAAAAAATTCAAAATCATTTAATTTGCAACAGAACCTTCTGAAAAATTCTTGAAGGAAATGTTATGACAAATTTTTTCCTCCCCTGTAAATTTTCTACACTCTAAGCTAGCGATATGAATGCCTACACTACACTATAATTTTGTCCTTTAAAAATTATGAGCATGATTATTTCTTTCAGAAATATACCATAAAATGTTGTTTAACAGTGTTGTAATACAGATAACTTTTATTAATTAATCAATTTGTATGAAATAAATTCTAAAAAATTGTTTTTTATCTCAATTGCTTTCTCTTTGTACAAAATAAATATGTATTTATGTATAACAAATAGAATAACTAAATTCTGTGGACTTTTTAAAAAATAACTTATTGGACTTTGCATTTTTTTCTTTTAATTTGGGAGGCCATTCTAGTAAAAGGCGAGCGCTGTGGTGTAGTGGTTAGCAAAGTGGGTGGCAAAGGGACTGCGCTACAATCACCATACTTAACATTTTTTTACAAATTGGTCTAAAATGAGTGAAGGAGTTGGAGCAGCTGTTTATAAGCACCGGGACTACTTTTGACTTTTTCTTTTAATTTTTTTTTTATTTTGTCCCAGGCGAATTGACACAGGTGCTGTTACCAGAGCAGCTGATTTTAAGGCGAACGGTGCTCATTGTCAAATGTATGTGTTTTCTGTACATTTTTTGTATTCTGATTGTAGTCGTGCACCTGCCGATATCACCTTGTATGAATTCGCCGTGATTTTGTCACACAAATTTCACGTCACGTCAGATTGGAAACGTCCATATTCAGTATATTCTACGCAGCTTTCTTTTTTGGCTTTATATAGCTTATTTTAAGCGCATAGCGTTTCGTTTACATATTTTTTGCCTTCTAAGCATACTAATTCTTTAGCCTTTACTCTAGTAAAAAAAACCAAAGATTGGAAATCAATTGCGTACAGTAAATCAATTTTCGTGCTTTTTATTTAAATATGCTGTACTTTCTACTCTTTTCAGGTGTACGCTAATCTGGACATAGCTACTGCCAAAGCTACGAAGGAAGAACAATCTCGAGCTAAGCATCATCTTTTAGATGTAGCCACCCCCAATGAACCATTCACAGTTGTGCATTTTCGTAATGCTGCGTTGCCAATTGTATCCTTTTTGAAAAGCTTTACAAACCAAGTTTGTCTTTATTGGATTGTCTTACGATGTAAGTATTCATACTGGGTCAACTTGTCAAAGAAGGTTAAATTAACTACACAAAAAAAGCAACATGATTTTTTCAAACAGTGTCGTTTTCGGGGTTTCCATATTAGCAATTTAAAATTTTGAACCGAAAAAGTATTTATTGCTAATTCGTATTTCATAAAAATATCATGCTGAAATCAAGTAATTTTCCCATGTAAAATTTTTCAGTAAATGCGAAATTGGCGAAAATTCAACCAATTTCAACAATTTGCTATCAATATTTAAAATTTTTTATCAGATTTTTTAGAGAAGTTTTGGGCATGGATTTTTATAGCCAATTTAATTCAAGTATAATAAGGTGCCAGTTCGAAGTTGTGCGTTTTCTTCACTTTTTGTACTGAAATTTAATGAGCCTAACCTAAACCTAAATACCAAACAAATTCCTGTCAGCTTGGTGCAACCCAGCCATGTTTCTAACCGGCGAAGGGTTGAAAAGCTTATTTCTGAAGTAGCGTTACTAGCAGAAGTGTGGCCAGAATGCAGAAAAGTTTGTGAATCAATAGAAAAGAATATTCGTCGCAGTTACCAAGAACTTCACGTTGCACACAGGAGTATTTGTATGATAAAACCAGTCAAAATTGAGATTCATCAACTTTGATAAAATTCTCTTTAAACATATTATTTCTGAAGCTATATAACCGATCTATCAGTTGGCAGGATTTTTGACTACGTGAAATAGAACATAGCCTTTATGTGATTTTTTTTTTCTGCGCTTCCAATAGCTGCATTTGTTGCTTTCGTTTATGTATCTTAAAATAGAACTAGTAGATATACAAATAGCAAGCATGTACTATAATTTATATTCTTTTAAATTATTTGAAATCGGTTCTATGGGATATTTATTTTTAGCAAAATATTAAAAAAAAATTATAGTCATTTTGTTTTCTTGTCAGGTATTGTCGGGTAATATTCTTTTATCTATACTAATATGTATATATTTTGAAAGTCTTTTTTTTTGGGTTCGCAAAGCTCGAGATCGGCTGTACGGATTGTTTTGAAATCTTGGTTATAGGTTCTGGATGGGCTTCTCATTGTCTTATACTACGTTCAAATTGACGAGCTAAACATGTTAAATGGGCTTGAACCAGTTAAATGAACAAAACATGTTCATAAACAAGTTAAATCGCATGCAATTGTTGTTGGAAAATTGAGCCAGTTAAATCATTTAACTCGTTTGAAAACCAGTTCAACGCAGAGCTGTATCAGAAAGCTTTCTGCTCCTGCCAATCAGAAAGACCCCAAAGCTTTCATTTGACACGCCAACGTTCAAAAAATGTATATTCTGAAAAATCATGGTGTAATAATAACAAGGTGTTGTCAGTAACTTAACCTCACTTTTTCGGCAGGTCTATTCCGGTCACGCATTTAAAAGTACTAGAAAAGGTACTAATTATTTACTACTTTTAATCCGTTGGTGCATACTACTTCAAATTAAATGTAGAAAAATGTATAATTACAGGCTTATAAGCCTTAATATATGTTTGTATCGGCAGCTCCACACAGTTTGGACATATATTGTAACTTTAAAAAAGTAAAAGCCGTAAAATAAGACAATTTCCTATTAGACTGTAAATGATATTCTAAATAGATTAAAACACATAAATATCGATAATATAAGCGAATTCCTAATTTAACCATGCCACCACTCTATTCTAATGTATCAGTAGTTCATTTGGCTCAATATTATGACAATGCAGCAAAAGTTATTTAATATAAAAAATCACCTTTCCATACTATTTTTGTGAAAGTTTTTCTCCATTGATAACCACGATATCTTTTATTTTTCTACTTTTTGAGTACAAAAATTATACAAATCCAGCAATTTTAAATATTAATATTGTTCTGAAAACACCAAGTTCTTTAAAAATTGCGATAAAACGAATTACTAAAATGGAGTATTTTAGATACTATTTCCCAACGAATAGTAGTATAAAAATTAAGATCGGCAGCACTGAAAATAAGCATGCCGATCTTGTCAAAATCACAACAAACACGTCGCTACTGACAACACCTTGTTATTATTCCACCATGCTGAAAAATATTAAAAATTAAAAATTATCAAAAAATACCAAAATTGTATGCATGTCTGCCCACCAAAAAAAGAAGCCAAAGCGGTAATTAGTTATTTCCCATGAGGTCTCATCGTACGCAGAGATAAATAGTGCATACAAACTAAACATTTTGAAGTCTCTAAGTAATCCGTATGCGTTAATATCAAGCAGACATTCGCTCAAAACAAATTGAAACACAAAAACTTGATTTTGAATATTTTTTTTTTGATTTTTTATTGGTAATCAAACAACCGTCAAAGTTAACTCTAAATGTTCAATGTGGACGATTTTGTTTTCCAAAAAGCTCTTTTTCATTTAACAAGTTAAATGAGGCCAATTTGAACGTAATATTAGGCAAAAAAAATACTTCTAAAAATCCTATAGAATCTAACATACATGCCCACATAACAGCGCTGCTCACCTGCAAATCACAAATAAGAGCGCTGTCTGCTGTTATTTCATACGGAATACAGCGCAAAACAAGGGATATGTATAGTGTTGCCACACATAGGCTTTTCCTACCAAAACTGGTAGGCTTTTTTTCATTTGGTAGGTTGGTAGGCTTGATTGGATTTTGGTAGGTTTTCTGGACAGTGAGTACACTCAAAAAATAACTTCTCTTAATTGTAGAAAAACAGAAATCAAAATGAAGAAAAATGGGAACGAAATAGCACTAAAGAAGTTTTATCCTCTTTTCATGCCCAACATTTCTTCAAAATGATAGATTACATCCACGGTTCCATATTTTCATGAACGTTTTTACACATTCCAAAAAAAACTTACTCATTCGGGAGAATTTTTTACTCATTCGGAAGAATTTTCGACCTTAAAGTAAGGAAAGTTTTTTGGTTCAGTGTAATAGTTCTTTGCGAAAAATAGAAAATATGTATCTCCAAACATTTTAGCAACCTTTTTTTACACGAATATTTCACCGGTGCCTTCGTATAGCCTTGTACTTGGTACTTGAACCAAGATTTCAGAAAAGTCTGCCAATGGGCTCGTACCCAACCATATTCCAGGCGGAGGTCCTCGCAATCGAAGTCTGTGCTCGCGAATATCATCGTAGAAGACAAATGAGCCCAAAATAAATATTGTATCGCACTGTGGGGTAATCGACCTTGAAACTGGAGATCAATTCATATCTCATATTCATAGTTAAAATCAGGTGGCAACCCTATTCAAAAAAATTATACCTTCTTGCACATCCAGAGGCCCAGTCCTTTCATTTGACACCTCATCTTTTATAATAGAACGAACAGTGCAGGTTTTATAATTTAAAAAAAGGTGGCAACCCTTTTCAAAAAAGTCACACCTATTTGTACAATGACCCTGGGATTCAGGAATTCAGTCTCATCTCAAGTCTCTAAATTTGAGATTATCAATTACAGGTCTATTCTGCGCTGGTAATAAAAAGTTTTTAACCGGTAAATAAAGTTCCTTTCAATTTTTAAACCCTTTTCGCATTCTGTGTACTCTTGTAACCGGTAAATTTTGTTACCATCTCATAAGCTGGTAATAAAGTATTGCCCCGTGAAATATGCAATGCCAGAATTTTCACAATTCTTCATAGCTGAATTGCTGAATATTTTAACTGCATTACCAACGTTCCTAGAATCGCGGTAACAAGAACTGGTAACATTTTTGGTAATAAAATTTTCCGGTTACTAAATTTTTGGTAACGTGCAGAATAGACCTGTTAGTGAGTATTTTTGTGACTTGAGACGATTTGGGTATTCAGAAGGAGAGAGTCACAAAAAGTTCACCAAAAATGTGTGGTGAAAGCAAACATATACTACGTTTATACGCATGCATAAGTCGCTTTAATTCATTTCCCGGCGATTCAAAACCTATGTATAAACTGAATTTCAATTCGTTTTTAAAGAGCGAAGTGTTTTGGCTCACACTCCATTTCAAATCGGTAGTTTATTATACCAAATAGTCTCAAAATCCAAGTTCACCACCAAAAGTCACTATTAGTGACTAGAGACCGCTTACTGAATGCCAGGGTAAGAAGACAATCCTTTTAATTCGGAACCTTAGTTTTAAAATCGAATGATCGGTGCCGTTAACAAAAAATGCCTTCATGTATTGTATGTGAACATATGTACATACGTACATACATATGTATATAGATTTGATCTAACCCTGGTATTTGTAGAGATAGGAGCTTCAAAACTATTACATTCGAATATACACAACCTTGAAAAAGCAAAAGGCGACAATTAGTAGATATTATTTGCTCAAACTGATAAAAGTCATGGAGGAATCACAATCTACAGTGAGAGATGAGTCGAATGGTACCTTTGAAAAGCTATAGCATAATTTTTTCACTATGCCTTTTTGCTGTCAAAAATTGTAAAATAACTTTTATTTTCGGTCTCTGCTATTTTTCAAACTAATTTATCTCAAAATACGTGTTTAAAATTTTTTCTCACCTGCAAACTGATAAATCCAGCGTATCACAATTTTATTTTGTTTTGCCATTCCTTGTTGTTGTTGTTGTTGTTGTTGTTGTTGACTTTATTCCACATCTGTTCACTTACATACATATATTATGTATATATGTATGTGTATTATAATGCGCATAAGAGCCCATAGAAAGCACACATTTACAGACGTACATACATATATTCTTCTTAATTTATTTTATATTTTTACGATCATGGGCCATTTTCTAAAGTAACCTTTAACTTTAAAGCTCACTTTATATTTAAAGTTTGGATTAAAAATAATGATATTTCTAAAGTTAAGCATTTCTATTATCGGTTTTGACATACGTATGTATGTTTCTTGGTTGTAAACCAATTTAAAGCCGATAATAAAATGCTTTACTTTAGACACAACCATAAATTTGAATGCAACCTTTGAATATAAATTCAGCTTTAAACTTACAGCTTACTTGAGAAAACGGCCCTAAGTAATACATAATTATTGCACTGAACACTTTTTCCGCACGTTATTTGCACTATTTTTTTTACATTATTCCACTGCTTTACTCTTTTCTTCTTATCACCAACCACTAATTATCACACTTTCATGTAAACACTTTATAAATTGTACGCGCTATTTATTCACTATAATTTTCTTTATTGCAATCACACTTAGAACTTTACACAACATTTGCGTCGATTTAAATTTCCGCATTTTTACCGCTTGTTTTGCGCAAACAAATTAATAATTTCACACAATTAAAGTTTATTTTTTATGCGATCCGCACTCCTCACGCATCACAGTTTTCTTCAACTACTACTACTTCGGTCGCCTCAGCACGACTCAACTAACGAACGCCACTGCAAAGGACGAAGTCGTGTTTGTTCATGAACTGCATGCGGGTGTGCTGCATTGTGTTTTTTTCTTGTGAGGTGTATTTTCTTTGATTTGATTTGCAAATGCAGCGGTCGTTGCATTATGCAAATGCGTTTTAGTAAATCAAAGTATGGATTGATTCTTTTACATTTGCTTTCAAGTTATAGCATCAATAATTAAGTACGTACATATGTATGTAATATTTCGAACACACTGGAAACTTAAGGAGTGTTCGTCATTGAATTCATATATGGTTTGCAGGGCTGGAAGGTTTTCTCGCCTTTTCCAAATCTGCGTAGAGATATGAACGAAGTTATCTTGACTACGTATACTGTTATGCATACTTACGCTGACCAGATTTCTGTGGCCGTAAATCGGGACATTTCTAAATTATCGAATCCGAACATACAACTAGGTTTTTATAATAAAAAGACATGATATCTCTTAATACAGTTTTATTTAAAACAAAACAAAGAGAAACAAATTTAAAAATTATCGCAAAAATGTATACACACAATATGTATTTATATTCGGTGATGAGAATGTATATATGGAAAAGACATTTTAGCAACTTTTGGCTACTTTTCTTTGTTTAAGAAATATTATTATTATTTATGAAAATATAACTTACTATCTAAAAAAAACATGTAAGTCAAAATTTAAAACTTTGTAGAACATTTATGAAAATTCGACGGATTTTAAAAAATGTTTATCAAAATTTTAAACATTTCAATCAGATTTTTTTGAATCTGGAGCACAGAGTTTTGTAGGTTATTAAGTTTTAGTGCAATAAAAGGCAAGTTTAAAGAGGTACCCTTGATTTTTGGCAGTTTTTGTTCGCGCATTTTCTTCCATCCAAATTACTATGTTCAAAAATTATTTTTTTTTGTATGGGGAAAATAAGCAACACCTTCCACAAAAGAATTTACCCAAAATCAACGGTACTCATAATGTTTATAAGAAATCTAGTTAAAAAGCTCAAAATGTTGATGAGTCTTTGTCGAATTTTGCTCATTTTTGTACAAAGTTTGAAATTTTGACTTACATGGTCTTTGTTAGATAACGAGCTACACTATCGTAAAAAATAATAAACATTGATACTAAATATCAAATAATCGAGAGGAATAGATAAAGAATGCTAAAATATCTCTTCCCTATTTATATTTTCGCCACTGTATATTTATATATCCATGATTTTTTCGAGGGAATTAGAATTATTTTTTATAATTTCACTAAATTCAAGTTAGAATCGTTTCATTAAAAAAACTTAACAAACAATTATAAATACCTAAAAAAAAAACATTTACATAATATAGCGAGAGCACTAGTTTGGGAAAATAAAACATAACCAAAGATCATAGAATACAAGGATGCTGGTTATGGTTATGGCTCCCTGATATTCTATGTCCTTTGTGGTAACGAAAGTGCTGCCACGTTTGTACGAAAAATTGGTTTTTGGCCCAGAGTACAGGGAGACTCTTATTAAATTAATAAATAAAACACTGAAAATCGGGACTTAATCGGTACAAATATGAATAATCGGGACACTTTACGTCCCGACTTTTAAAAAATATTTAGCGGGACAATTTTCTTAAAATCGGTACTGCCCCGCCAAAGTCGGTACGAATGGTCACCGTATGCATACTATCAATATATTCGATATCGTTATCAAGATAGGTATCGATATTTTTTTGATATCAGCTCAAATTTTACAAGGGTATACATATATATATAAATTGATGCTGCCGCTGTGGTGTAAGGCAGAGTGCGCTTCCATTCCGCAAGGCCTGGTTTCATGGGCGTAGCCAGAACGAAATTTAGGGGAGGTGGGGCCTCCTATACAAAACAAACATTTCAAAACCAATAACTATTACTTACTAAAAAATTGTTTACTATAGCTTAACATTATTGTAACCAATAGAGATATGTTGTACAAAAAAATATAAACAGAAGTTCACAAAAGTTGATATAAAACTATTCGTCCATTTGATTAATTGAACCCCGTCAGTGTGCGACTTTAATCCAAACTAAACCTCCTACCGTCATATACCGTTCGTAACTTAATTTCTGTTTATCCAATGAAAAATATTTACAGTGTGTACCGTATGGTATGTATGGTAACCGCAACCCTCAATACGTGCAATTCCTTGATTAATGCAAGTCTCTAAAGCAAAACATTCTTACTTTTTATTAACCGACTTCCAAAAAAAGAGGAGGTTATCAGTTCTTCGGACTATCTTTTTTATGTATGTTACCGCATAACTTTGGACCACGTCAACCGATTTCGATAATTCGTTTTCCATCGGAAAGATATTGTCTCAGAGGTGGTCCCTCTCTCAGAGGGGTGAACTGGTTAAGATCCGATCAGTGGATCATGAGATATATATATATATATATATTTTTATATGAGAGTTGAAGTCGGTTTTTTTTTTGCTTAAAATTACTTGTATATGTGCAACTTCAAAACAATTTAACCTTAATACCTACAACATTCTTTATTTCTACATGCCACACAAAGGAAGAACTAACAAGTAATTTTTAGCAAAAAAAACCGACTTCAACTCCCATATAAAAAAAATATATATATATATATCTCATGATCCGCTGATCGGATCTTAACCAGATTAGTATGGGACCACCTGTGAGACAATACCTTTCCGATGCAAAAAGAATTATCGGTTGACGTGGTCCAAAGTTATGCGGTAACATACATAAAAAAAAAAAAAAAAATTTTCCGACGAACTGATAACCTCCTCCTTTTTTGGAAGTCGGTTAAAAAGTGGTGTTTCAGTTAACGTTATTTATGTGTGATGAGCAGGGAACGGATTTTATGGAATTTGCCTTTTTTCAGTTAAAGAGATAGAGTGTATTTGATTAAGAATGTTCACGATTTACCTTTCCCCGGTTCCATATATACACACTGGATGTTGCCTTTTTTGCATTTTCTACCAACTGGGGCCAACTTAGCAAAAAAGGTTAAATCAACTACACAAAGAAAAAAATAACATGATTTTTTCAAACAGCGTCATTTTCGGGACTTCCTTGTTAGCGATTTTAAAAATTTGAATAAAAAAAGTCTCTTATAAAGCATGTTCACATTTGTAAGTCATAAACAAATCATGCTGAAATCAAGTAATTATGCCATGTGAAATTAATCAATAAATGCGAAATTCGCGAAAATTTCAACAAATTTGCTATCAAAATTTTAAATTTTTTAATCAGAGTTTTTATAAAAGTTTTGGGCATGCATTTTTGTAGCCAATTTACGCTGACGACACACAATCAGTTTTGCCGTTCAACTTCCTCACATATATTGCTTGTCAAAAATCATCAAAATTGAATGCCATTACGTAGGCTGCATTCAATTTGAGAAGCGATTTCATTATCAACATGCCGTCTTCAAGAAAACAATCTAACTAACTAGCTTCTGAAGAGCATTTTCCATTTTAATTCCATTGTAGATTAACGTTTTGGCATGCATAAGCTTAGTATTTTTTTATTTTCACAAAATGCTGACAAGCTGATCAAAATTGAAAGCGAAATTGAAACTCAGTTGAAAGGGAAAAATTTAAAGCAAGTTGCCCATTCAACCAATAAATAAGAGTGTGTTAGTGAAAAAGTGTGAGAGTATTGAAAATTGAAAGTGAATTGATTGTGTAACGGCCCGGTTAATTTCAGTATAATTATGTAGGTGCAAGTTCGAAGTTGTGCGCTTTCTTCGATATAAAAATGCGAGTATTTTAGAACATACATATGTACATACATATTTTGTGTGGATGAAAATGTGAAACGTCCCAAACCAAAAAAAAAATTTCAAAAATCAGCGCGAATTTCGGGTACTTCAAACGGTCACTTTTTGTACTGAAATTAAATGAGCTATATAACTTCATACCCAAACATTTTCTATCAGCCTCGCAGGATGAAAGGGATGAAAAGCTTATTTCTGAAGTAGCGTTACTAGCTGAAGTGTTGCCAGAACGCAGAAAAGTTTGTAAATCAATGGAAAATAATATTCGTCGCAGTTACCAAGGGCTTCACGTTGCACACCGGAGTATTTGTATAATAAAACTGGTCAAAACTCAGATTTATCAACTTTGATAAAACTCTCTTAAACATCAAGCTATATTTATAACCGATCTATCAGTTGGCAGAATTTTTGACTACGTCAAATAGAACATATCGTTTAATGTGATGATTTTTTTTTCTGTGCTTCTAATGGCTGCATTTATTTCTTTCGCTATAATGTTTTTTATGGACCAATCTCAAAATAAAACTAGTAGAGAGGCATTTTGTGTGGTAGTCAAAATATTTGCACCGTTATTTCGAATCTCAAAAATGAGGGGTCAAATTAAAGACTACAAAATGTTATTTTTTTAACTAAGAACTTTTTTTTATCAGTATATATTGATTTCACTCAGAACGGCTGCACGGAATAATACGAAGTATGGCACTCGGGTCGCTTATAACTCTGACTAACATTTAGAATATTTTCTAGGTTTTTATAATGCAATTTTGGGCGCTTTAACGCTTGTGGGTTCACTAGTTTTGCATATTTAATATAACAATGATCACCTTTTGGAATTTTCCATTTTTAAAATACCAATGGTCACCAAAATCAAACGAAGCATCAACTTTGTTCCTGATGCGCTGATTACTCTAGCAATGCGTTTCGATAACTTTTTTTGGAAAAGTATACATTGTCAACATTTTGTAGTTTGACGTTGAGGAATATTAGGTATACATACATACTTTGTACGGTTGCAAAGCATTTGACATTTTGGAAGTCAGCCTCTTGCTGCAAGCTAGCAGCTGTAGTATTTGTGCGAAGGGGTCTATGAGAAGGTAAAATTTTTTGGTAGAAAAGAAAACGCCATTAACCTTAAAATGAAAACTTTGCGTTGCACGTTTCGAAAATTTACTCTCAGTAGTTAGATAAGCAGCCGGAAATCGAGGGATTAAAAATGTATGAGTTATGCGCTTGCGTTGCATTGCAAGTGTCTCACATTTCCGTCACTACCGCCGCTAATGTAGTTTCACTTCAAAAAAATACTTTTA